GTGTCTGAATGGGTTGCTTTGCATGCAGAACGCCCCAGGGTCGGCCATCGGGCTTCAGTTACGACACCCAAGTTGCAGGTGCTGGGAGGAGATTGCCTGCCAGCGATCGTGGAGATAAAATTGGCTAATAGAGGGATCTGGTGCAAATAAGGCTATTGCCAGGTTTCCAAGTTTTCTGAGCTGCCGGGGGTTGTCCATCTGGCTGCCGGACACAGTGGTCTTTTGGGCCTGGAATGCGGGGCACTTGCCACAAACGGGCAACAGGCCTCGATTTCCTGCAAATCTCTCTGGCACCTCCTTGGGCATCTCCTCCCTCTGCCCGATTCCAAGTACAATTCGTTTCAGCCTCTTCCCTGCATAGCTTGACCTCTTTATAGGAGTCATGTGGTAGATGAAACTCATTATTTCCCCCACTGAAACAAGAAGTTAATTAAAAAACCTACACACAGGCACACGCACACACAGGCACACAAAATTCAAAAAATGTTTTGTGAATTGTCAGCAGTCTTGGTTTGCTGGCCCCGAGATAGCACCAACAGCAGACGTTAAGGGAAGAGCTTCGAGATGCCTGTTTCCTGTTTCTTTACAGCGTGAGCTTTTTGCACACTCGGTGAAAGGATTTGGGCTTTGGGCCGCCTTCACCTTTTGCTCATCAAGAGCAATGCCGTCACTGCTGCTTTCTCTGGCGTGCCAGTTTCCCAGAATCCCACAGCTGTGATTTCAGAATAGCCCTGGCTTCTGACTGTTGACTGCTCCTGGCTTCAGTGGTTTGGAAAGACTGCTGTTGTAAAAGCAGTTGACTTAAACAAAACAACAGCGTTTTAATGGCATGCTTCTCGTGGCAGGTGGCTTGGGGAAGTCTGTGAAATGATGTGCAGGTTAATGGCGTGGGATCGATTCCCCACAGGCTGCTGGGATGCCCAGTTGCGCCCCGTTGCTAGGCAGACGGATATTGTTTTGGGGACACGGTGGCCCACGGCAACCAGCACATGCCAGGCCGGTGGGTCCTGGTGCCAAGTTCGCCTCCCGTGACTTCTTGGGAGCATCTGCCAGTCCTTGGGGTGCTTGGAAGAAATGGGACCGTCACCCTGAAGGAATTGGTACCACTGGTCCTGATGGGATGGGGGGAGTCCCAGTGCAGCAGCCGGGACCATTTCCAGGTTCAGAGAAGTGGGTGGCAGCGGGGGAGAGGAGAGCACGTCCAGGGCGTCCCCGCAGTGCCCCCCCCAGCAGGTGCCTGACCCCACGGACCCCTGATGCTGGCCCCAACTGCTTGACTGCACCACAAGGCTCAGTCTCCCCAGTGCACTCCACGGCTGAGCCCAGAGCTCAGAGCTCCCAGTCCACCAGCCCCATGCGCCTAACCACTACACCACACTACCTTTCCAATGGAAGGCTAGGCACCGGACCTGCCTCGCTGTCCTGATGATACACGAGTGCTTTTGCGTGATGGTATGTTCGAGAAGTGAAAGCAAAAGACTTTAAATGAAAGGAATCCATGGATGATCGTGTCTTCCAGGTCTGACCGGTGAATGGGCATCTCCGAAGAGGCAGCACTGCAAGTCCCTCCTGCAGGCCTGCAGAGGAAGGAATGAGGTGTGCAAAACTCCCTTCCCGTTCGTTCGTTCGTTCGTTCGTACAACACCTCCTTTAATTGCTTTTCTCAATGGGAGAGTTCAGCGTGCCTGTGTGACCCGGCGGACCGACCGTTTCTCTTAGAGCAAACGCATTCTGCGGCTGGCGCACCGGGGAGACCCAGCTTCTAGAACCCATCAGCCACAAAGCATAAGCCCCCCCCCCCCCCCCCTCCACATTTGAGGCTCTGCTCCAGGTTTCCCACCAGCTGAAGCACGGCAGGTGGCCCCAAGGCACAGCCTTTTTGGTTGTGGGGCCGCCCCCGCCCAGAAGATGCCCACTGGGGGAGGCCCACGGAGTGCAAGTGCCAGGTGCAGCCTTTCACAGGAGCCTTTTGTGCAAGTCAATTGTGGCGTTGCGTATTATATCCTGCTGGTGTGCAAAGGCATCGCTGCAATTTCGTTTCGGTGCAGATGGGTCCCATGGCACCCACAGGGCCCCCCAGTGGCGCCTGTGAATGGGGCCCCTCACCTGGTGCCCACAGGTACCTGGAAAAACCATCGAACAAACTTTTAAAATACCTGCACAGATTTGTATGAAAGGCATACAGCGTTGTAGCAATTAGAAATAGGCTTCTAGGAAGCGGTTTGGCTAAGTAGCAATTTAAAGTTAGTATCTCTGGGAAAGAAAGAAAACTAAGTTTTGTTCTGCTTCAGAACTCTGCACGTGTGTGTTTGTGCGTGTGCGATTTGTAAATATTTGAAAAATGTAATCTCTAGAATTTTTCTCCCACAACCAGGTTCCCACAAGCGAAACTATTATCCTGGCTGTGGATTATGGGGGTTATAGTGCACCAGCTTGTGGATGAGATTCTGGATCTGTGGCGTCATTGGCTAGAGAGCAAGTGTGATGTCACACCTAGAGAGCTGAACCATGGACAGGATGACTAGCCAGGCCTTCCTGGCACGAGAATAAATGCACCTGTCTTTAGGATGCCACAGGAGTCATTTTGCTGCTCAGCCTTGGGGGACAAGTCGGCGGAGTGGTTAGCGCAAGAGATTCAGGTTCGGATCCCCACTCAGCTTTTAAGTTCCCTGGGTGACCTGAAGCCCGTCCCTGACTCTCCGTCTGACCTACCCCACTGGGCTACCGTGGGAATAAGGCGGCAAGGTGCAATAGAGCTGGTAAGCCCCTGCGGACTCCCTGGAGGAAAAGGTGAGGCGTGAACGTAGCCACCAACTGTACGTTGGTCATGGCAGGCCTATTTTATTATTTTATGTATTAGATTTATATCCTAACTTTTCTCTTACAGTGAACGCAAAGCGGCCTACACAAGTCTCCTCCTGCTCTCACAACAACCCTGTGAGGTAGGCTGGGCAGATATGACTGGCCCAAGGGCACGCAGGTGGCCCCTGGCCCAGCGGGGACCAGAACCCAGCTCGCCCGAGTCCCACGTGCTTAACCAGCGCACCGCACTGGTTCTGCGAGGACTGCCGTGCGGAAGTGACTACCTCGCAGGGTTGCTGTGCAAAGGCGAGCCGCGGGGAGGAAGGGCAGCCCAAGCGAGCACGGGCAAGGGCTCAGCCCCCGGCGCGAGCGACTCGCGTGCCCCCGGCACGGACACGGAGGCGCGCCCGCGCCCGCGCCGCGCGTCTCCGCGCCCGCGCCGCGCGCCTCGCCTCGGACGGCGGCCTCTCCCCGCGCCGCTCGTATCCTCCTTATCCGGTGGGCGTGGCCCGAGCGGCCGGCCTATGGGCGGCGGCGGCCGGGCGCCGCTGGGGCTGTGGCCACGCCCCTTTGGAACGTTCAGCAGCGGGTTTGATACATTTCGAGGTTCCATTGAGAAAAAAACGCAACGAGGAAAAAGCCGCGCTCGCTCGCCAGCCCGCGCCGCTCGCCCGCGACGGAGTCGGCAAGCCGGAGCCCGAGGCGCGGCCGAGCAGCCGTCCGGCCGCCAGGGAGCACCGGCGCCCGGCGTTTGCCGGCTTGCCAGCGGGGGCGGCCGCGGGGCGGGAGGCGGGAGGCGGAGGCGCAGCCGTCCCTTCTCTCGGCCAGGTCGCCGCTGCTCGCCTGTCGCCCAGCCCTGGGAGCGCCGGGAGGGCATGAGAGCCGCGTGCCGGCTGCCCCCCGCCGCCGCCGCCGCCCTGACTCCGCCGCCGCAGCAGGGAGACGAAGCCGCCGCCGCCGCCGCCGCCGCCCACCCGCGATGTCCAGGAGGAAGCAGAGCAATCCCCGGCAGATCAAACGTGAGCGCCTCTCCGACAACTTCCTTTGCGGCCCCTTTATGGTCCCCCTGCTCCCGTTTAGGGTTAAGCCTGTGCGGCCCCCCCCCCACACACACAACCCTCCCCGGATAAGCCTCTGGTAATTCGCTCCCCCCTCCCGCGCCGAGCACGCGGCCCCCCAGTTCGTTTCAAGTTAGTGGCCCGGGCTCTTGCCTCCCCCTCCCACCT